TTAGTTTTAATTCTAGCTAAATAGTATCTCAATATTATATGCCTTCATAAAAATCACTCGATAAATTTCAACATTAAACAATTCCTATCAATATCTTTGATAGCTATGCAATGATAAAAATATAGAACATTTTAGTTTTCCAATTCTTACTTTACAAAACATTGCGCTTTCTTTTCTTTTATAACAATTACTTATTCTATACATAATGAAACAATAATATTCTAAAAAAAATACTGCTAAATAATTCACGGACAATTAAATCTCTTTGAAGAACCTGCAACATCAATGTCTTTTAGGTTTAATCAAACTAGCAAGTCACAACTAGAGGTATTTTCTTTTATAATTTAAGGTGGGATATTTATTTTAAGGTAAGATCGTTGCAACTCTGACCTATATTTTTGATCTGTTAAACTAATTAATGTATTAACATTTACAAGAAAGCAAATAACAACACACTTAAATATATCCGATCCTTTCAACTTGCGCCGTAATCATATAAAATAATAAGAATGATTTAAAGAAGTATGATGTTCATTAATACACGAAAAATATAGGTACATGTCAAAACCTGTGGTTAGCAGGTAAATACAAAATTCTTCATGACTGCAATATGCCATTTACTCAATGACGTTTGACATAATTACACTGTGGAGATTGATATTACTTTATGAGTAGATACAGACTGGTCCCACTTACGTAACGTGAGCAATGTATTATGAAATCAGGACTCTTGATTTTGTACAAAAAACTGTACATCAGAAACACACTTATCGTATGCAACGCAATCGTATGCTTTTAACACAGCGCCGACTTGCGATGTCACAGATCGGCGTGGAAAGGTGGAAGGATGTTAGTATGCAATTCCACGCGAACGACCAGACGTATACACAAATAGACCTCTGCACCGTGCACGCAATTTGTTATCACAATGGATGATTTAGTAAGGCGATACAAATGTATTTATAATATTAAATGTGTTGAATATCGCGATACTATGTTAGTAATACACCATAGCAAAACTAATTGGTAAACCTAGTATACCTTCTGGTATAGTTTCCGTTATTAATGTATTTTTTTAATAGCGAGAGGTCAATGCGCGTAATTAAAAAACAAGTAGTTTTCGTATTTTTATCCCAGTATGGATTATTTTAATTATATGATTATATATGACGTGTTTTTTACAATGCGGAACTAACACTCTGTTCAGAAAAAAATCGTTCGTTATCGTCTTTCAGCTTCATAACTAGGGTATGGTATTCTCTGAACTCTCTTTGTTTATTTATTTCATGAACCGAATAACTTTTTTTTAACTTTTATCTTTTTCTTTGTGGAGTGAATATATCCGTTTATGAACATGTTTCAGAATCAAAAACATGGTATAAATTTTTACTCGTGCGTCCGCTAAGAAGTGACAAGAGTGTTTGACGCCAAACGTACGTTGCATACGTGGGTCAAGTGTGTGCACCAACGTAGTAGAGTTGTATCGCATACGATGCGAAGAGGGACCAGTCTGAACTTGCTTAAATGATGCCCAATGCCCATGGACGTCGGTTTTTCACAGATTAATGAACAGAACACAATGATCATCGATATTGACAATGAAAGCGACTGCTGGTGACTCCATTTGTCAGCTGACAGCTCAACTTTAGATTAAATTAATGTATGGTTGACCGTCTTTCACTTTAACTAAATCGATGAGACGCCATTTTAAAAGTTGACTAACATCATTGATGAAAAGAATATTATAAGCTACTAAAGTACAAAGATTTAAATAGTTAGACGCGCCTTTACCATAGTATGACTACTCCGAAATGTGTTTATTTTCAAGTGAGTGAACTCACTCATTTGCAATGAAAGATTGGAACTAACGCGCTGATTTCACAAAATAAACTCTCAGAACTGAGAATCAATCGTGTGCCTTTCGAACGTACAATAATAATTCTAAAAACACAAATAAAGCCCAAAGTGTAACATCCACTCGTAAGTATCTATATTTTATTAAATATTGAATTTTATTTTATTCCGATGTCAGAAAATACCACGAAATAATTATGGGCAAACTGAAATTGTGAAACAGAGAAAGTAGTATACACAATTTCCGTAAGATAATAAGAGATGACACTATTGTCTCAGTACTGTTCTAATAACCAATGTAGTTAGGCCCGCCGCTGATTGCAATTTTTTGTCGACGTGACTTTTTGTCACTTAGTCAAGTGTCAATGAAGTCAATGAAAACTATATTGAGTGCGCTCATTATGGTGACGTGATAATATGGTGACAAATAGTTGCAGCGGCAGGCAACACCGGAGTGACGTGACTGTCACTCGCCCTGTGCATTACTATGGGAGTCCGCTCACTGGTGACTTTTTGTCACTCGGCCGGCGCCGCGCGTTCGGAGTAGACGTATGCTATTTAAAGTATTTGTTAAATAGTATTAATATATATGTCAAATTAATCTGTAGATGATTGTGATATTACAATTTTTTATGCCTCTGATTAATAAAGATTTTTTGTTTAATTAAGTAGTTGATGTAGTTTTTGTTACTTACCTCAAAGTTACCGTTAACCTTTCTTCTGCTGGAATAGCTTTGCAAAGCCAGCAACTCATCAAAAGAGTTTATATACATACGAAGATAATTAAAAAACTTTGGTGGATACTGACGTAATTCAGAATATATAGTGTAAAATTTTCCTTTAAATAATCTTTCCGTGTATATAGGATGCACCCAGTAGCGTTTTTTCCGTTTCATTTTTCTTCTACGTATTTCAAGAGCACAAATCACAGCAACCTCGTTGAAGTCCATTACAAAAATGAACGCGATTTGTTACCCAAGAACAGATTCAGTGAGCGCATCGTGGGTGACAGCAGGTGACAGTAATAATAAATCACGGTGACAAAAAATTGCAATCAGCGGCGGGCTTTAGATACTCAGATGTACCAAGGAAGCGGTTTACAAAGAGATCATCTATAAATAGACATAAACAGATGGAAATGCCGTGGTAGCGCACACATTAGCGTGCGCGCGTCATCGTCTTGCAAACGCACACATTCAAAAATAATGTAACCGTTTTTCAAGGTGAAGGCGCAACTAACTATTTAAATCTTTGCTATATATATTTATACTAATTACTTGTATTTTTCCAGAATTCCTGGTTCGTTTTAAAACATCCCATTTCACAATACAAATAATCGAAACCACAGAGTAGAGCAGTAACCATTTGTTATGCTAAACATGTAATAATATATTATGTAGCAATGTACAACTTAATATTTTGAATTGAATTATGTGTAGCATGTAGCAACTTAATATTTTTGAATTATAGATTTGTATTCGATTATTTAGTCTCCTAAAATTTTAAATAAAAATGAAGTAGATAGCCATAAACAGTTTTCAAAACAAAAAATAAAAAGTAATTTTCGACATATGCCAAGCGTAATGAGATTCCTACATCACAGTTCAATACTTATATGTTTATTGTTTATTTATTATACGTTACTATAATATGGTCAAAAAAGATTTTTTTCCTTTGAGCCATTTTCATAAATAAAAAGGCTTAAACAAAACATGTAATCCAAAAATTATAAACACTTGCAGTTCCAACTAACAATTATAAAGAACACAGGATAAAATGTTTGCTAATATGCATATTGACTGATAGATGATGACGTATACTTGGTCGATTTCGGTCACGGCGACAAATCATTTAATCATGACGTCAGGTTACATAAAATAAATGACATGACCGAACTGTACAGCATTTTTTTCGTATACAAAAAATTAATCAGTAGTTGAGAGTCACGGGAATTTTATGTTTTCACACGTAATTTTGTTAAATCACTTTTCAGTAGGCCAAATTCTACCACATTAATTAATGGACTGTAAATACACAATGAAAAAGCGACATGTATCGTATTATAATGAAGGACAGTAAGGTCGAGTGAATAACAGCGACGCTGCATCTGTACCAAAATTGGTTCGTTTTGTTTATAATGCCACTATAATTGTTTACTTTGAATATTTACCTAAACAATTTTAGTATTTCGCCTTTGAATATGAATTTAGTTAGAACAACATAAAACAAGATGAAAAACATCGTCACAATTACATTATGTTTATTTAAACCTAAATTCTCTTTTTCTCAAAACATGTATATTGAGTCGTCTAATCACAACATCCACCAAAAAGAACCTAAATTTAAAAATGCAAGAGAAAATCAAATTAAACTTTAAAATTATAGAAATTATCGCGGAAACAAGCATGCGAAAGGATCGGTATTGAAAAATTTTCAGTATATTTATTGTTTAAATATTGCTTAGCAGTAATAGAACAATTCAAAACAACGCTTGTCTAGATGTTATATCTAAGGCGATTTTACATTGAAACGGAATTATTTAGCAACCTGTTTATGTGCAAATCTCTTAAAGAGATATATACTGAAATACAAGAGTAGAATACAATGATATACGATCAAATATTTATGTTTTGAAATTTATTAATTAGTCAACAAGGCAGGCTGTAGTTATTATATCTTTAGAGCTAAATACTACAGTAAATATTGGAGGCTTTCAACAAATATTGGAGCTACAATAATTATTTCAACAGTATAATTCGAACATTGTAACGGTGGCCTTAATCATTGTCTTTTGTTAGCCTTATAAACTTTATTTTAGAAATGTGTGCGAATGGGCACATATGTGTGTTTGTGTACGTATGGATATTTCTTTATTATGTACAACTGTGTTGAAAAAAACTTTTATAGGAAATACAAATTACATTCATTCAGACATTCATATTGAATTTTTCAGTAAATACACAAGTTGAAAGTTTCCCTAGAATACTGTTTTTGAAATGTTTGCTTATGCAAAGAGAAAAATATGGAAAAGACTATTTTTTCGAATAATCTACACACTATTAAATTAGCTTCCTAAGGCAAAATGTTAGTATATGATAAATATAAATATTGCAGATCTCTAATTTACAAATATAAAGAAGGTACATTTATTTAAGATCATACAGATCCGAATGAGATTCAATGTAACGTTGTGAGATTATCCGCCCAGAATCCACGACTGGGGTCAACAGTTCCTCTGACGGCACCTGTATCCTGATTCTGTTATCTGACGGACGATTGCTGCCGTTAGTCGTATAAAAACCCAAGGATACCGGTTTGTGGTGTTCCTCGGTATAGGTCTTGAACTTTGAAGGGCTAATGGGGTGCAAATGGGAAGGGCTGGCTGACAGAGGGTTGTACGTCACATGAATTCGTACCACGTCATCGGATATAGGAGATACTGAATGTGGGTGCGGCGTCGCTCGTGGAGTGGAATGTGCGGTTGATGGCGCCCTCTGGATACTCATCCCGCATACACCGGACCTGGAACATGAATATTAAATCATTTAATAAACAAAACTATAAGTTTACACAATACTGTGCCTATTTTCTAGTATCAATATATTATGTAAATTAAAAAGTGGATCTAACACGGGTTAAGTAAGAGTGCGTTCATACCGAGAACAGAATAAAAGTTATTGTCATTCGCAAGTCAAGCAAAATAAAATAACATGTTAGTAGAGAGCAAGTATTGCCACGTCATGTTTTCACAAAATTTCATTATATAGTAAAAAAAATCTAGAAAAATTCATTTTATTCATAACCTGTTTCCTAATTATTTGAACCGATGAAATATGAGCCGTATGAAAAGTGGGGGAATGTAAACAAATTGAAATTACAAGAACGAAATTTTAATCGAAACTACAACACTACAAAACAATCGATGTAATCAAATGGTCACATCGCCTGTACAATCGTATTTTCAATTAACACTGAAGGTTTTCAGCAGGTACGTTACGTTTTGCGATTACGCGATTTTGATGTTATTTTACAATTACGCAAAATAAAAGGTGAGTAATTAATTTGAGTTCCTGTTAATAATTTTATATAACTCTAGAATTTATCGTTATATAACATACTCTACTATTAAAAACATTTGTCGTGATTCGTTTAATGATGTGTTTATTTTATATTTTATTTTCCTTACTGTTCTTAGGTAAAGAGATTCATATGGTTTGTTTATATTATCCCTTCTTAATTTAGTAGATTATGAAATCATTTCCAATATCGCGCAGTGATTTTTTGACACATTAGGAATTTTTGAATTGAAATTTTTTGCGGAGAAACCATAATTTTAAACGAATCTATTTTAAAATAAAATGTAATTGGAAAGAAAAAGAGGAAAGCACTAAAATCAAATAAGAGGAAACTAAGAGAACTGATACACACGTGAAAAATATAAATGGATGTGCAAGTAACGAGAAAAATAGATCAAACGCGACGAGTTAAAAAAAAATATGTGGACAAAACCAAGAAACGTGTTCTTCAAGATAAACACTCCTCCTGTGAGTTGGATATACGTCTCTTTACCATATGCAGTGAGTGACAGTTAAGACAATGATGCTACTTCAAACGAGCGAAAATTTGATTGACTTTTAATTAGTTTATTCGTTTAAGATATAGGTATAAGATATAGGTAATACAAATAAGTAGTAACTTTAAGATATAATAAAGTGCAACTCGAGCGAAATCCCATAGAGATATAATGAAAAACTAGGTTCGTACGTTTTATTATAAGGAAATATTGCGCACAAACTTCCTCGAGCGTTTTTATTTTTTTAAATTAAACTGAACTAAATTACATAAAATAAAAACGTACAGACATAAATTAAGGTGTACTGAATCTAATGAGACCAAAATTGACTAATTTCGTAAAGGTTTTGGGGGGGTAAAAACGTTATCGCTCGTAACAATATTTTAAAAAGAAAATGTAGGCAATTCTGCCGACATTTGCAACTAACTCTCTATTGCACGATGGGGATACGGAGCGAGTGATGTGAAACAGATAGCTTTTTTGAAAATACCTACTTGCGTCGCGTATCGGCACTTCGCAAGCTTTGCTTTGCTTTGCGAATGGATTTTTATATATGGGAATAAACCCAGCTTCTACTGACTAATCAAAATGTATTGCATAACATTAAACAAAACCAGTTTTTGAAAATTTCGTATATTAATGAACAATTCTTTCTTCATGTAGTTTTTGTATTTATTTATCAGTCCATTTTAAATGTGAACGATCACCATCAGCCCACTAGACTATTAGTTGGGATGTTTCACCACAATCGTGACATTTGGTGCTTACTACCGTACTTACTGCTGTCTGTGATCTATGTGAACTATTTTATTAAATTATAATTATGCTATTAGTCTCTTAAGTCTTCGCTTAGTAATTTTTTACGATAAGTAAGCGAAGAAATGAGGTGGCGGATCTATGACGCCGCCACTAAACAGCGATAAATGACATTTTCAACCGACTCCAAAAAAGAAGAAGGTTCTCAATTCGACTGAATTTATTATATGTAATACATCAGAATTTTTTTCTAGGTGAACCAATTTCGATGATTCTTTATTTGAATGCTTAGTTGCTTTTCATCTCGTCCTATAGAATACTATTATATACACTATAGAAGAGGTAAATATGATTTCAAAAGTTGATGGTTTCCTACCAATCTTACTTTGAAAAGTTAGTAGATCTACCACCTTCATTTTATTAAGTTTTCTAAAGACCTCCCGATAATAATGTGATACTCATAATTAATGTTTCTATTGGATAATAAATATTTCACTTTTTATAAGAAACTCCATGTGAAAGCAGGATCAATGATCATCAATTTCCAAAATTAAACTCGAAAAACATAAAAAATTTAAAAACGAATCATGATAAGTTAAGTATATACTGATTTAATAGTTTTTAATTATAAATATTCAATTCCTTTATTCGTATTGTTACTAGATTGGGGCTCGTGACAGTAAAAATTGCCGATTGAATTACCAAAATTGACACTTTAATTACCGAACACCAATCACAACTTAAAACACACAAATAGTTAAGGCGGTACCCTGACCAAACCTTGCAAAAGTGCGTTTTTCAGAGACTATTATATCATTAGTTATGAGAAATAAGCTACATCTAAAAGCACATTATTAATGTTCAATATCCTGTTATCACATTACACGATTTAATTTGTTTTTATGTGTTATGAATACATTTAAAATCTACTTTTAAAAAATGACTAAAATTATTGATTACATGCATCTGTTGCTAAAGGAAACGCTCTAATCATTTGAGGATTACACTAATGGATAGATAATTTAAAAATCTATATTCTACACGTTTTATTTAATTTCTTAAGTTCGCTTATCTTTTTTAATTGAAATAATTCCAAATATTCGGGCGTATTTTTACGCGATATATTATTGTAGCGAGAGCGCGTGGATTGTATAGGACCGAACGCTCAAAGTCTTTCGCTAGGGGTAACGGCTTAAACACTTTAGTTCGCAGTTATATTGCTTAGAAGTATTCGCTTGAATCGCTAAATCAATAAATACTCTCTCGGTCGCGGACATTACTGGCCATGTATAAGGCTTTTTCCACTAAAACATCTAGAATGTTTGAGCACATACCGGTTCCTACCGACTAGGAGAAGAAAGTTCCAGTATGGAGTCCTCTAGAAGGATTAGTTCTGCTACTCGATACTAGATGGCGCAAGTGCCAAGTACCAGGCATCAACTATGGCGCCCAACAGTATAAATAAACTTTCTTGAATTTGAAGACAATTTATAGCAGTGAGAATTCACTTGATATTCTATGGTATGTTATTGTTAGAATCAATTAATGGAAAATCTTGAATACAATAACGTTGTGAGCAATTATTTTTTAATTTTCTATAATCACTTCTATAAACTGCCTTTAGTTTGAGTTGCGAAGTATTCATACATTTACTTTTACTAAGGAAGTCCTGCCTCTTAAACGTAGTGATTATGTACTCTTTGGTCAGAGTATTAAGTAATGTCCTCTCCCTATTCTTTACTATATTCAATGATCCCGTTGAGGGATTAGGTAAATTGAACGAGGGCAGTTGAAGATAAAACATCGTTTGAATTTTGTGGCTATTTAAAATTCAAAATATCTGTTTATAGTGCGAAATATTGCGACTAGTACATACGTGTGTGAACCTTATATGACGGTGATTGTGTCTGTGTAATTACTACAATAAAACATCAAGAAATTGTGGAGTAAGAAGCATTTTAATATTTATAAAACCTTATATCTTCAATCTCCCGGACCTACCCCAACTCGCAATTCGCTCGCTGTGACGTAGTACGGCAATATTTACTTGCTAATCTTTTAGCGCCTGGATAAAATAATTAGCACATACTAGTTAACAAACTTTTTCTATAAAATTTTAAAAGTTGTTTTTAGAGTATTCTATTGCACCTAAAATGAATAAACAATTCTGTGGAGCTTTCAGAGCATTAATATCTGATAAAAGATATATGACCTGCCTTGGTTGTAAACAGAAGTATGACCTTCAATGCGCTAATATCTCACCACAGCGGTATAGAGCGTTAAATGATGAGAATAAGCGTAATTGGAGATGCCTGGAATGATAAAGTAAAATACCTAAGAAGGATGACACAAACACACCTATACGCCCATCGCACCAGACAGAGTCGGCAGTTCTCGATAACGCAGATAACTTGAATGTAACGTTGCGTAAAAAATCTGATTTAACATTTGACTACATAACGGAAAAAAAGTTGAAGAATATCTTGGAGGCTGAAAGACAAGAATTAAGAATTGTTATTTAATCAAGCCTGAAGGAATTATCAGATCAGTTAACCACAATAAAAAACCAGTGTTCCGGATATCAGGAGTCTTCAATGTTTATTAGTGGGCAATATGAGGATTTTCGCAAAGAGCTCGTAGAATTAAAAAAGCTGCTTGCAACGACCACTTCTGAATTGAAATGTATAAGAGAAGAAAATAAAATTCTAAAAAATTGTGTTACTGCACAAGCAGCAAGGATTAAAGCATTGGAAGACGAAAACTTGAGACAATAACAGTGGACACGAATGCAGAATATAGAGATAACAGGGATTCCTGAGAATAAGGCCGAAGATACTAAACAAATAGTATTGAAACTCTCGCAGCATATTGGGGCTCCTATTCAGCAAACTGATATCGATTTCGCACACCGGGTCCAACCTCGGCGCGCTGTAAGTGCTGCCCGCGCACGCCCCATTGTTGTGCATCTAAGACAACGTGCCGTCAAAGACAAACTTATAGCAGCGGGTCGCAAGTATCGTACTCTGAATGCTAAGGATTTGGGAATGGGTGATGAGACTAACAGAGTTTATATCGATGAGCACCTTACAAAAGAAAATAAAATTCTTTTAAATACATGCAAACAAAAAGCCAAGAAGATAAATTATAAATTTGTTTAGACAAAAAACTGCCGTATCTTCGTTCGAAAGGACGA